TACACTGCATCGCGCTGCGTAAACATAAAACCATGTCTGCATTTGTGATTGGAGAAATGACAAACAACAAGCGCTACTCTACACTGCTCAGAACTCGCGTTTGAATCGTCACTGGCAAATTCTTTAAATATAATCTCTGGGTTTGAGACTTTAGTCTTTGCAACTTTAGGGATCTTATCTATTTACGAACAGCTTGTAACACTCCAAAGAGAAAGGAAAACTTGAAATCGCATCATATGACCCCTTTAAATTGAAACTCCAAACTACATTAATCATTCCAGAAATGAAAATTTGGGTACATTTTCTAAATAATGTCACAATGCATAAATTCTTAATTGTCTTAAAATATGCCTTATTTTCTCTGAGTAAATATAATTTCCCATTTTTCTTCCTTTTATTGTCTGGTGTCTTCATGAGATTCACACAAATACTGTGTGTTATCTTCCCTCAGGTGGAGAAATGTCTCTTCCATTGCAAAATGACATCATCTATAATAGAGATGGTTATCAGAGAATGATGTCACCATAGCGGACTCACACACACATCACAAACCTTCTCTGAGCCAGTGTGTAAGTCCTGCCTTGCTCTCCAGACTGTGTGTGTTCAGTTGTGCTGGATCCAGAGACATCTGAGAGAGACTCGTATCTGCAGAAAGCTGCTCCAAACTCTGGAAGCTTTTCCTGTGGTCACACACGCATGGTTTAAAGTCATGAAATAAGTAAAGAACATGTTGATGTCACAAAAGAAAAAATAATAACATTTCAAAATTCAATAGTGAAAATCTAACAAGGACCACTAGTGACAATTGAAATATATACACATGACAGTAATACAAATCTGGGGAGGACATGTGCTTAATTGACATTAAAACAATATAATTAACTGAAAATACCATGATATGTTTTCATGAGAAACACCACTGAAGTTTAGGTTACAATTAGAGCAGTCCATTTAATAACCTCTGTAGGTTATCAATACATGAGAATGATGGCTGTAGAATGCATGCCAATACTGTAATGTGATTTGAGAGCTGCAGACGTGCGCTAAAACTACAGCCTGAGAGCCTTTGCTTCCTGGATCATTCGCTGAGCACGAGCAACTCAACTGGAATCCAATATTAGATGAGTTGTGGTGTGAAGTTGCATGTATCTCATAAGGACGTGCGTAATCTGAGAGGATACTTTCATGAAATACAAAAACAGAAAGCACATACTCTTCCCATGGTCCTGTGCGTTTCCTGTACAGGAGTGTATCCAAGGCAACTGCATTGGTATCCAAGGCAGCAGGTGAGGGCCATTGGTTTGTCAGGTGCGAGGTAAGCTCCTGTCTGGAGCGAAGGTCATAGTTCTTCATCACCGTCCTGGAAAAACAAATATTATCATTTAAAGAGACCGTGCTAAAAAGCTGAAACTGCAGTATATATATATATATATATATATATATATGAGGGCTACACGATCAGTCGCATTTTCATCGCGATCACAATTTCAGCTTCTCTCGATGAATCACAAATAATCATTTTGATACTGGCCAGGTGATTATTTAAAGGGGTCATATGATGCGATTTCAAGTCTCTTTGGAGTGTTACAAGCTGTTCGTGAATAGATAAGATCCCTAAAGTTGCAAAGACTAAAGTCTCAAACCCAAAGGAATATTCTTTATAAAAGTTAAGACTCGTCCACGCCCTCCTAAAACACCCCGTTTAAACACGCCCCCACATTTCTACGTCACTGTGTGGGAAGATTTGCATAACACTGCCCAAATGTTCACGCAAAGAAAGAATGCGTAACTTTGATTCTTGCTGTAGTATTGTTGTTGTTGCCGCCACCGCCATGTCGTGGAGACGCTGTGTGTTTCGTTGTGAAAGCGAAACTACTTTGTTTGGTCTTTCAAAAGAGGACACGACTAGAAATCAGTGGTTACGTTGTATTTACAACACTGTTCCAGAACAGTTCAACCCAAATATTCAGATGTGTGCAGCGCATTTTACGGAGGACGAGGACTGTTTCCTGGGAGAGTAGCCTACAATGCCGGTGTTCCGGTGAATTCAGTTCCCCTGTTTCCCCTTCGGCACGCATGCTGACCCTATACAGTCTATGACGCTGACAGATAATGCTGACTCACAGCCTGTAAGTACGTTTTCATATTTAAAGAATTTGCCACTGACGATTCAAAGTGAGTTTTTTGGGCAGTGTAGAGTAGCACTTGTTGTTAGTCATTTCTCTGATCACAAACGCAGACATGGTTTTATGTTTACGCGATACACTATGTGGAAAACCTTGAACCGCATAAACATATTTCATTACACCAAATACACAAACAAATTATGTTCTTTTTTAACAACGTCATATGACCCTTTTAACATGAATGCACTGGTAACAAGTCTCCACTAGCTTTCATGCTTGGGGTTGCCAAATATCAAGATTTTCCCCTAAATCCCCCAAATCAGAGTTTTTCTTTTAAAAACATATTTTCTGCCCAGTGTTTTGCTTAAATCTTCCAAAACAGGCAAAGATGTGAAAACGCTCATGTGCTCATTGCAGATGATCTGAAAACACACAAAAATATGTTAAGAGTTTAGCGATCTCCATTCTGCTCAAATAAAAGTGGCATAGTCTACAGTCAGTCTGCATTCCTTCACGAGGCCGCTTATGCTGCTTGCTGCTACTAAATCTTGAGCAAACCTTCTCACTGACAGCTGTAATAAATCCAAACATAAATCTCGACCATATTGTTTGTGATTGAGGTCACTGAATAAATGCACTTACGCAACCTCTGTGCTATGTACAAACTAAAGTAAAAATTGTACACAATTTGGAATGATCAGAATTAGTATTAGGAATTTAACAGTTTTAGCTTTTTTAAAAGACTTTACCCATTTTCATAATGTAAATCAGTTGAAAACTACATAAGACACTTCTGTTTTCAGTGCTATTCTAAAGATGAAAATGGCTAAAAGAAAAAAGATGACAAGTATCGTTTTTTGAAGTCCATCTATACGCATTTGCATTTGTGGAGCAATCTGGACGCTTTTATTTTTTCCTTTGAGCAAAATAATCATGATAATCATTTTGCAGCCTTAATTTATACAGTAGAAAATCAACCAGGCTTGTCTAAATATTTACCTCTTATCATACAACCTCCTGCCCAAACCTTCTCCTAAATCCATCTTTATCAAGTCACTGATCAAAGCTTAACATCTGGAACATGGCATTCAGTGTCAAATATTCTCATCCATAAAAAGATGAGGTCTTTAACCTCAGCAATTGGATTTCAAAACTGACTACTCAGCTGTAAAATCACTAATAGTGGTCTGCTAGCAATCACGGACATCTGTATTGATTCGCCCAGATGGTCCGCAGCAGCTGACACAGAGAAACACAAACAGCTTCTCATGGACTTGTATCTACTTAGATAAACATCATATAACCAAGTACAAGTACTAACTAGCATACTGCACACTGCATAGTATACACTACTGTTCAAAAGTTTGGGGTTGGCAATATATTCACACAATATTCACACAAATATTGTGAAATAGGTAGTTTATTTAAAAGAACTGTTTTATATTTTTTCAAATGTAATTTATTCCTTATGCAAAGCTGAATTTTCAGCATCATTACTCCAGTCTTCAGTGTCACATGATCCTTCAGAAATCATTCCAATGTGCTGATTTGCTGCTCAAGAAATATTTCTTCTTCTTCTTAATGTTGAAAACAGTTGTGATGTTCTGGGGGGGAAAACGAGCGCCAAGAAAAAAGTACATCCAAACAAACGCACGCTTTCTCCTCCCATCAGTTTCTCCTCTAGTCTTTCATTCACTCCCCCTTGTCCATCAATCAAATCCTCTCTTCGCTTACATGCTGCCATCATAATTTCTTTAAAAAAAAAAAATACAAAAGCACATAACAAAATTATAAAAATGTAACTGTAATTAAAATTAAAACTGTAAATATATAAAAACAATATAAAAATACTATAAAAGCATACACACACACACATACATATATACATACATATATAATATATGAATTAACTGAAATTTAAACTAAAACTGAAAATATAAAAATAATATCAAAAGCTGTATATATATATACTAAAAGAGGTGATATACACACACACACACACACACACACACACACATAATACTAAATTAGCACTGGTTCAAACTTACAGCTGATCCTGCAGCTCCAGTATGATGATCTCCAGCTGCTCTTTCTCCAGTTTGTGGCTGATTTCGGTGTCTGTGAGCCGCTGCAGTAGAGATTTATTCTGAGAGACAGACTCAGAGAGCTGAACTTCCCTCAGACGCACCAGCTCCTCCAGATAACCCTAAACAATTATAATAATTCATGTGATCTGTGTCAGTATTTGCTAGTCTTGCTCCCGGGTCCCCCCAGGATGTCTCTCTTATCTAACACCCACCTGACTGACTCATCCACTCATCAGTACAGACCCCACGACCTGATTTGAGGGTGTCAGACTAGATACTTAAAATGTGACACACTCAGGAGCACTGAGAATCCCTGATCTAGAAATATTCACGCTCAGTTTAACATTCAAAGTTCATCACACAGAATACAGAAAACTAGAGTACTGCTTACTGCATATGGCACACAATATATATATATACAGTCTATATATGACAGAATATATTCTATACTACATACTGTGATGGCTAGAACCACTATAGTATTTATGGTAGTCCTGTTTGGTAGGGTGAGTACGGTAGTTTCTAGCCTCGCGTCCTTTATGAATGGCATGGCATTAGCTTTGGCTAATGGCGGCGTGCACGCTGAATGCCAGATGGGTAGCTGTTGTTAGGTATGTGACAATGTTTGATGTAATGCTTTTTAAAAGTGTGATATTTTGTATAATCATGTGCATTAAAATGTTTTGTGCAGATGGCAATGATGGTTTGTGCCAGATTTGGAAAACTGTTGTTGTAGTTGGTACTAGGTATGTGATATATATATGGTTGAAGTGTTTGTTTGTTTTATGTTGTGCTGTATTTAAATGTATTGAAATGTGTATTTTTGTATTTATATATGTTATTCGATGTGTGGTGTTTTAAAAATGATTTTGAATGTTCTAGCACAATAATGAGGGTGTCTTTCTGGCTCTGTTTTAGGAGCTGGCCTGTGTCACTGTTTTGAATTACTATTTAAGTCCGATGTAAAGTATTGCACGTTTGCACATGAAATATTGGGGGGTGTTGAACCCTTCCGGTATCAACTTGCTATCAGCTAAGCCTATTTATGTTTTAGAACTTTTGTCGAGTTGTTAATAAATGGCGGTTACATGGACGATTTGAGTAGAGAAATCTATTGCTTGTCATAGATGGGCTTTACAATACTATTAAAAAATGTATGTAAACAGTATGCAGCGTGACTGACTACAAAGATTTTTTAACATACATTTTTTAACATACTTTCTGTAACATACTTTGTTAAAATTCCTCTATGGTCGTGAAAAACAACACCCTTTTTACCTTGTCAAAAACAAGCGACTCATTTCGGTGCATGTCTCTTTAAATGATAATGAGCTATTGCCCACCCCACCCCACCCCTCTCTTCCGTGGGGCATGTCATCACAAGAGGCGTGAATTGCTGCCTTGGACTCCGTATATAGCTTGGAGATGGTCTTATTCAAATAGCTAGCTATCTACTTAGAAACCTGCTGCAAACAGCTTGCTGGATGACAGTTTCAGACTCAGACAGCCCACAACAATCTGACTGCATTTTCCTATTCAGCTTTTCTGAGCTGGCAGACACACCAGAAACCTAACTAAATGCAAAGAAAGCTAAAAAAGTGAAATTTTCATCCGATGTCCAAGCTAAAATTAACATGAAACTAAAATTAAAATAAAAACTAAAACTGAAAATTGGAAATGTTGCATTGGCATTTGGCAACTAACTGAAATAAAATAAGTTGAAGTACTAAAATTACTAAAACTTAAATAAGTATACATTAAAGCTAATATAAATATAAATTAAAGCTAAACAAAAATATTTAAAAATAAATAAAATAAAAATGACAAAGGCATGTAACAAAATTACTAAAACTTAAACTAAAAATAAAAGATAATTCAAAATAATAATAAATACTATAATTCTTTATAAATAATACTAAAATAACACTGCAACACAGACATGTCCTGACCTTTGCTCTAGAGCTGCGGACGTTCTCCATGTTCTCGATGCTATGGATGCAGCTGTGCGGGACTTTACTACACGCCACACGTATGTAATCCCAGAAACTGCGCGGGCTCTCGTAGCCAAACCAGCTGACCTGACCTACAGCGGGAAAACACACACACAATGCAGTGTAAAAGCAGATTGATTCCTCAAGAAGAGCTGTGTATTCATTTAGATGCAAAACTATTCTAGAAAAACAAACACTGTGTTTTAGTGCAGTGACATTGTGGGTAAATATCTAAGTAAATATGCTAGTAATTGAAAGGGTTGATTCTGACAAGTGATGAGCTCCACAGGAACTTTGAGCTTTTTAAGCCATTTCAGAGAACATACATTAATATGGAGTGATCAAATATTGCTGAAAGTCTGAAAAACACTGATATGTAAGTGAGCGTGAGAGCTGTTTTGTCATGCTGTGAGAGTTGTCTGAGCTCTTCTAACCCAAAATGAGACACTCAGTGCTGTATTTATACCTCATTACAGCAGCAGGAGTGTGTGTGTGTGTGTGTGTAGGTCTTTTAACAGCATGTATCACAGCATCACTATGCAATAATGTGTGTGAAGCTTCTGGCACAGCTCACTTCAACAGTTATTCTGAGTGTGTATGTCAGTTCATTTGTTGTCTAAGGCGCTGCCAATTGTATGTTGTTTTTTGTATTATATACATAATATATTATAAAATTAAATATATTTTTAAAAATTAAATTAAATAACAAATAAATGAAAATACATACAAACACACACACACACATATTCTTAAAAAATAAAAAATACATAAAATCACTGGTAATTTAGTTTAATGACCACCCTCTCTCTTAGAATGCAACAGGCTGTTTTTTCTACAATAACTTTAAATGTAAATGCCCTATTCACATATGAAATAATAAAGTTGTTTTGCTGTGCTCACACACGCTCCGTGTTTATTATCAAGTTCAGTTCCGTTTGCTAAAAATGTGCCATCTTGTGTATCTTGTTCCTTACCTTTCAGTCTATGGCTGAGAATATGTTCTAGAATGGAGACAAAGTTGATGAACTCAGCAGATGTGTCGTCTATCGTCTCAAAACATGAGCGATCAATGAGGGTCTTCACTGAGAACCTGTGTACTCAAACACACACAATCATGGGCACAACAGAAATGTACACAATACAGTTGAAACTCACACAAACATCCCTAATAGCTAATACAGTAAAACACTGACAAACGTCAGTCTTATAAATAATTAACATTATTATGCTGCCTTCTAAGATTTGGCCATATTTTAATGCATCTCATAATGCATTAAATATCTTTTAATGCTCAGTTATTATATTATTTTTATTATTATTATTAGTTTTAGTAATTTATTATATAAAACAATTTTTTTTTTTTTTTAAAGCAGAACTATGTAACTGTTTCTGTGTTCAAAATTTGCTAAATGTATACAATGAGCGAGTACATCATGAATTCATCTTCCAAACTTCTAATTAACAAGAAAAAAAAAAGATTTAATACTTTTAATTTTAGTTAACAATAACAATGCTGCTATTTGGACACAGTGACACACACAAAAAAAGCCCCCAGAAAACTAAGAGTTCATCGAGGAGATAAATAGACATCTAATTCAGAGCTAAAATAAGCTGAGTTTTAATAAAGCTAAAGCTTTTTAAAAAACCCTAAAAGTGCATTTGAGTCAATGGAGATGTTTTGTGTTTTGTGGAGCACCATTAGTGCCGTTTATTGTGGTCTCATCAAATGTAATTATGGCATAAATGACTGTCCTTTTCATTATCGGCAGCTACTGTGCTTTTATGTGTCTCCTCATGACTTCCAAATACCCAGCAGCCTTCATGCAAATGTCATTTCAGAGGTAATTTCACTTCTGACATTTCCTTTCTAAAAACACACAAAAGCAAATGTGGGGGAAAAAGCAATAACGTTTGAGAGTAATGGTTAAATATCATGTTAAGTAACTTAAAACTCAAAACTAGTATGAAATGCACAGCAGCAGATTTGCAAGCATCCTAAAGTTTGTGTGTGTGTTTTTTGGGACGTTAAAAATATACACCCTCTTATGCCTAAAACTATTAAAAATAATTTTGGTAATTGAAATATGTGGGGTTAAAGTAAGTACAGGTTGAAAAAAAAAGAGAGAAATGTTATCTTGTCAGCTAACTGAAGTAAATAAGCAATAAAATAACTAAAACCTAAAAATAAATTAAAGGTAAATAAAAAATAAAACATTTTTTTTTAAACCAAATAAAAAAAAATGACAAAAGCACAGAATAAAATTCCTATAACATAAACGAAGATTAAAATGAGAACTAACAATATAAAAGTTCATTCAAAATATTATTATTAGTTTTAGTAATTTATTATATAAAACAATTTTTTTTTTTTTTTAAAGCAGAACTATGTAACTGTTTCTGTGTTCAAAATTTGCTAAATGTATACAATGAGCGAGTACATCATGAATTCATCTTCCAAACCGAGTTTTTGTCTTATTCCAAATCACTACATAAACTTAGAGAAGTAGCTCCGGTTGGAATGTTCTTCTGCGGGATGTGTGTAGTTCTGTTTGTTTAACCGCTAGAGCGCCAAAAGTTACATAGTGCTGTTTTAATTTCAACATTATTGTAATTAACAAGAAAAAAAAAAGATTTAATACTTTTAATTTTAGTTAACAATAACAATGCTGCTATTTGGACACAGTGACACACACAAAAAAAGCCCCCAGAAAACTAAGAGTTCATCGAGGAGATAAATAGACATCTAATTCAGAGCTAAAATAAGCTGAGTTTTAATAAAGCTAAAGCTTTTTAAAAAACCCTAAAAGTGCATTTGAGTCAATGGAGATGTTTTGTGTTTTGTGGAGCACCATTAGTGCCGTTTATTGTGGTCTCATCAAATGTAATTATGGCATAAATGACTGTCCTTTTCATTATCGGCAGCTACTGTGCTTTTATGTGTCTCCTCATGACTTCCAAATACCCAGCAGCTAGGGTTGTAACAATTTCACGATGCAATACTGATTTTTTCTTTTTCTTTTCTTTTTGTTTTTTAACAAAATTAGATTTAAGACCAATTAAAAATGAAAAGATGTCCTTTTATTATTGCTTGGACAAAGTGCTGAAAATTTCTTCGTGAAATTGAAATATGAACATTTTAAATAAACAAATAACAAATAAAAGAAACCTCTTCATATAACAAACTAAGGCTTTGCCTGTGCTCTCTCCATTCAGTTATAGGCAACTACTGTATTTTAATCATGGATGCTGAATAGATGCTGCATGAATAGTTTTTAATCTAAATTAGACTGTATAATTTCGAAATCTGAAGCAAAACAGAATAGTCTGACTTTAACTTTGTGAAATTATGCTACATAAAACATCTGAACGAGACGGAATAGCAGAGAGAGTGAATGAGACGCAGATTCACTCTCTGACAGCAGGTGGCGCTCATGGAACAGCAGCGATACAGCGTTTCCTTGGTTGCCGCTGTAAACAAAGCAGCGCAGCGCTTATAAATACTACATTAATATGCATTATACAGAGTCAAGATGAAAAGAAAATATCCTCTAAACTTCTCTAAAGACAAATTTATATAATTTATATAAACTCCTACCCCCCACGCAATTCCTTTAATATCTCAACCGATTTGAATCGTCACATATTTGTATCGATTTTCAACCGGCTCGCGGTGCATCATTTCATCCCTACCAGCAGCCTTCATGCAAATGTCATTTCAGAGATAATTTCACTTCTGATATTTCCTTTCTAAAACACACAGAGCAAATGT